TTTATAAAGTATCGACACATCAACATATCTGGTAGTGCTTTACCTGTTTTGTCATTTATAGACCGATTTTGTCATTTTTTTACCTGTTATATTGTTATGGATCGATACATTTTTATAAAGTATCGACACTTTCAATATATCCGGTAGCGCTTTACCTGTTTTGTCATTTATAGACCGGTTGTCATTTTTTTACCTGTTATATTGTTATGGATCGATACATTTTTATAAAGTATCGACACTTTCAATATATCCAGTAGCGCTTTACCTGTTTTGTCATTTATAGACCGATTTTATCATTTTTTTACCTGTTATATTGTTATAGATAAATACATTTTTATAAAGTATCGACACTTTTAATATATCCGGTAACGTTTTACCTGTTTTGTCATTTATAGACCGGTTTTGTCATTTTTTTACTTGTTATATCGTTATGGATCAATATATTTTTATAAAGTATCGACACAAACCGACAAGCTAAGTTTGTCGGTTGCCAAATTTTTTAATATTTCTTCATGATTTCCACCTATTACATTATTATTACTCGATATTTCCGGTAGCGCTAAACCAAATTTATTAAATATCTTTTAATGTATCCGGTAACGCCGTATATTGACCGTCAATTGAGTAACAATTTTATCCAACGAGGGTGTTTTTTTGACCAAGATGAAACATTAGAGGGTAATATGCTAAAAAAAGAATAGTGACAAAATTAATATTACTGTCAAACGTTAGAGATATTTTGTTGTATTATGCCGTTTTGAAAAAAAATGAAAGTTTAAATATTAAAACAGATCAAAACTAATAATTTATGTACTAAACACATAATTTGCCCTTATCATTAATATCCAATTTAATCATTAAATCGAATTACTGTGCAATAGTCATTATTTTCCCCCAAAAAATTATTCAACACTAAACTGATATTACCATCCTACTCAAATAGCAAATGCTTGGGAAAAATAAAAATTGGAATAATAAAATATTTAAAACCAAGCTGACACAGTTTCATTGGGCTATGCCCCACTCACATGGAGGTGTCGTGGACTGGGGCAACTACTACCCTATAGAGGCGCGCGTGAAGAGCTAGTAAACCTTGTATTCGAGTGGCGTTATTGTCATTACATTGAAAAAAAAGGTTGTTCTTTTCTCTGACACCCCCCATTGCCTACTGGTCGCTTTACTTTTACTATATGACTCGAAACCAGAGACAAAGACACATGCATGCTACGCTTTTCAACGCTGTAGATTCTCTTAATTCTCTCGTCAAAACAATATCGACCCTTCGATCATTTAACCATGGTTTAACCCTCTTAGTTGGGGAAAACCAACCATGGTCAATTGCTTCAGTTTAGCGCTCTCTCTCTCTCTCTTTCAAGTTGAACTCATCTCAACAGGTTCTGGTTTTGTTAGAGAGAAGGAAGGAAAGACAGAGAAAGGGGAAACTTCTCTTCTATTCTCTTCTGTTTTCTTTTTTATTATAAATTTTCTCTGTTTGTTTGTAAATTATTAAATTTCGATTCAGATAACAGTTCTCCACTTTCGGAAGCTAGAGCTTCTTCAGATCTGTGAAAAGTTTTCTTTTATCGTCTGAAACTGTAATGTAATTGTGGTTCTTTGTTTTTTATTTATAAAGAATCCATTTTTTCTTTCATTTTCACTTAAAAAATTATAGAAGTTTTTATCGAGAGAATTCGAGTTGATTTTCACTCTCTTTAACTCGGGTCCTTGAAAGAGATGCGAAATATTTTTAAGTAAAAGCTTCATCTCCTCCCTCCCCGGCACACTATGGGTCGTAGTTAAAATATTCAGATCTGGTCACATTCTCCTACTTTTCTATCAAATTATCTTCCTTTTTCATCCTCATATTTTCGTTTTCTTGGGAAAAAGTTGGAAAAAAAAAACAAATCTGTATGCTCCGGGAAAGTAGAAAAACAATAAACATGAACTATTTCCCAGATGAAGTTCTAGAGCACGTGTTTGATTTCGTTACCTCACACAAGGACCGGAACTCAGTGTCTTTAGTTTGCAAATTATGGTACAAGATCGAAAAGTGCAGCAGGAAAAGGGTTTTCATTGGAAATTGTTATTCCATCAATCCAGAGAGGTTGATTGCCAGGTTCCCAGGTTTAAAGTCACTGACTTTGAAAGGGAAGCCACATTTTGCCGATTTTAATCTGGTGCCAGACGACTGGGGAGGCTTCCTTTACCCTTGGATCGAAGCCATGGCTAACAGTAGAATTGGATTGGAAGAGCTTAAACTTAAGAGGATGGTTGTGTCGGATGAGAGCCTTGAGCTGCTGTCCAAGTCATTCCCGAATTTTAAGTCTTTGGCTCTTGTTAGCTGTGAAGGTTTCACCACAGATGGTCTTGCTGCTATTGCCGCTAATTGTAGGTAAGATTGTTTTTAAGATAATTCTCATTTTTGGGTTTTGATACAACTAGATGTTTATGAGGCTCTTGGTTGTTATGGCTGAGTTTTAGTATTCTAATGATGCCATTTCTGGTTCCAATTTGCAAGTGCAATTCGTTTTAATGAGCTTGTAGATAAATACTAAAAGTATACATTTAGGTTTGCTATTTGATTTGGTGAATTGTATGGGTCCAGCTTGACTGATCAAAGTTTCCTTGTACTACGCATTTTCTTAGCTGCAATTATATATATATATATATATATATATATATATGTTTGTGTGTGCGTGTGTGAGTGTGTCTTTTGCTGTTTTGAGGGTATAATAGTGAAGTGTTTATCTGTGTTGCTTTTAATTAGATTTCTCTGTTTGCTGTTATTTGATTCTAGGGTACTTAGGGAGCTGGATTTGCAAGAAAATGAGATTGAGGATCATAGAGGCCATTGGCTTAGTTGCTTTCCTGAGAGCTCTACGTCTCTTGTTTCCCTGAATTTCGCCTGCCTCAAAGGAGAAATACACTTAGCGTCTCTTGAAAGACTTGTGGCAAGATCTCCCGACCTCAAGAGTTTGAGGTTGAACCGAGCAGTACCTTTCGATACTCTCCAGAGGCTGTTGATGCGAGCCCCTCAGCTGGTGGACTTGGGTACTGGGTCTTATGTAAATGATCCATCTTCTGAGGCCTATAACATGTTGAAAGCTGCCATTCAAGGTTGCAATTCGATCAGGAGTTTATCAGGATTTTTGGAGGTTGCCCCTCGTTGTATGTTGGCAATTTATCCGATTTGCGAGAACTTGACCTTCTTGAACTTGAGCTATGCTGCTGGCCTTCAAAGTAATGAGCTCACAATGCTGATTCAGCACTGCAGGAAGCTTCAGCGTCTGTGGGTATGGTCTTTTAATAATTTGCCATCTGGTTGATGGTGTCCATCTAAAGTAACTGAATGACAATAATCAGTTTAAACTTTAAATGTTGCAGATACTGGATTGTATCGGAGACAAAGGACTTGGAGTTGTAGCATCAACATGTAAAGAATTGCAGGAATTGAGGGTTTTCCCATCCGATCCCTTTGATGCAGGAAATGCTGCGGTGACAGAGGAAGGTTTGGTCCTTGTATCTGAAGGGTGTCCAAAGCTCAATTCATTGCTCTACTTCTGTCAGCAGATGACCAATGCTGCCCTCATAACTGTAGCCAAGAACTGTACGAATTTTATCCGTTTCAGATTGTGCATCCTCGACCCCATAAAACCCGACCCCGTAACCAATCAGCCGTTGGATGAAGGATTTGGTGCAATTGTTCGGTCTTGCAAGGGTCTGAAACGACTATCACTCACCGGCCTTCTGACAGATCAGGTTTTTTACTATATAGGAATGCATGCCAAGCAGCTTGAGATGCTATCCATTGCTTTTGCCGGTGACAGCGACAAAGGAATGCTTTATGTGTTGAATGGTTGTAAGAAACTTCGCAAGCTAGAGATAAGGGACTGCCCCTTTGGCGATACTGCACTTCTAGAGGACATGGGAAAGTATGAAACAATGCGATCCCTTTGGATGTCCTCTTGCGAAGTTACCCTCGGAGCCTGCAAGACGCTTGCAAAGAAGATGCCAAGCCTGAACGTTGAGATCATGAATGAAAGCGAACAAACGGAACGCAACCTCGATGATAGGCAGAAGGTAGATAAGATGTACCTTTATAGAACAGTGGTCGGGCATAGGAAAGATGCACCAGAATTTGTGTGGCTTTTATAGGTGCATTGTTTTGGCACTGCCGTTTCCTTTTCTGCATATTTAAGTAGTAGCACATTGTTAGGACAATTAGTCTTTCATGGACCCTTAGCTGGTTGGTGATCTAGATGTTATGCTACCATCGTTTAATTTACAAGTGATTTGCTATTCGTAATCCTTGTTATTTTGAAGTCTGATTTTTTCACCGTGTTGCAAGCTCAACTCGGTTTTCGTTGTATCAGTAAATAAGAGTTAACAAGCCTAAAAGTATCCAACTTTCTGGTTTTTCTGAGCTTGGTCTAAACAATTGGAAATGAAACAGAGAGACATGCTAGTCCTGTAGTAGTGGAAAGTGTTGATACTGAGTATACCCTTCTGCAAAATACCTCTGATACGCCTCGTGTGGTTGGCGGCGGCGGCGCAGAAGGGTATCCTGGGGAGGTTTCTGTATTAGATTATCAAATCACAGGATTACGAATTCCAGAGACGCAGAAAACCAATAAGCAATTAAGCATAATCACGTGTTGATGAGGATCTCTATAAAAACTATTTTTAATTGGACGATTTCAGGTTTGGACGACACAAAATTAATTGTCATCAATAAACAGAAAGTAGTAAAATTCAACGCGTAATTAAACCATTGGAGACATGGCTAAGAAACCAGAGATGGATGATTCCAAGAGGTGTTTCTCAAGTCAAAGTTTTTTGGCTTTCACACACTCCCACCTCAAATTAAAGATGCCATTTTTCTCGTACTTCTAGAAATGCAGGACATGGTTAAGGAACCGATACACGCAATTCGGCTCATCTTTTTTCATATATAACGTACCCTTTGATTTTTGAAGGACTGCAATATTTTTCACAGCTAAAACTTCCAACAAAAGAACTAAAGCACAAAAATGAATAGCAACGGCAAAGAATCACAGCCTAATTACCCCACGATCTACCCTCCAACTGAAGACTACACCAACCCTTTCCATCAACCAAGCGTTCAAGAAACACTGCCGCATATGCAGCCTGCAGCGGCAGCTGCGACTGCGGCTGTACCATCATCGTCATCGCCTCCCCCTCCGTCTGATCAGAATTCAGAGAAATGGGGGACTCATATCATGGGAGCACCAGCCGTTCCCACATGTCATCCAGATAACAAGAAGGCAGCCATGTGGGGCACTGGTGATCAGGCTCAATACTACCATCTTCCGTATCTTCAATATTCCCCAGTGGAAAAATCAAACAACAGCCCCATGGAATCCATGCTTCAAGTCTTCAACACCTGGAGCCATAAAGCCGAGACCATGGCCAATAATATATGGCACAACCGTATGTTCAAAACCACTGACAATAGTCATCATTATTTGATATTTCCTTAAAATCTAGTCTTGGTTTTTGTGATTAAACAGTTAGAACAGGGTCGTCTGTACCGGAAGCTGCCTGGGGGAAGATGAACGTGACGGCAAAAGCAATATCAGGAGGTGGATTCGAGTCTCTTTATAAGCAAACATTCGCCACTTATCCAAACGAGAAGCTGAAGAAATCATTCGCTTGCTATTTATCCACTTCCACTGGGCCGGTAGCTGGAACTCTTTACCTATCAAACATTCATGTAGCTTTCTGCAGTGACCGTCCCTTGTCGTTCAATGCACCTTCAGGACAGCAAACATGGAGTTATTACAAGGTTATGATACCTCTGAGCAAAGTTGGGATAGTGAACCCTGTAATAATGAGGGAGAAACCATCGGAGAAATACATACAGATGGTTACGGTGGATGGACATGATTTCTGGTACACGGGTTTTGTGAATTACGAGAAAGCGTCCAAGCATCTGTCTGAGAGTGTTTCCAGTTTTGTAGCCACCGGAGTAGCTGTTCAACCTCCATCTGCTGCATAAACAGAGAGGATTACAACAATGTGGTTACATGACTCTTTTTTAGTTTGTTTGGATATTTTCATAATCTGGTTGTGGGATTTGTTTGATCGACTGAACCGTTTTTGTAAAAATAAAATGAAACATCCTTTCTTCGGACCTCTCTTCCTCTAGTATGCATTCAGACTGACGAACACAATCGAATACAAAAACAATATCTCAGAGTTTGAATCCAGGTTACCCCACTATACTACAACGATTCTTCGATTGCAGACGGGCTCTGTTTTCTTAGTTGACCGGAAAAGAACAGTAACAAACGCAAAGGCCGCAAAAAAAAAGTATTGTTTGGGCACTTACAATTGAGCCTATATCTTATTAAAGGTTTATTTTAATTTATTTATGAAAATAATTGAGGTCGAGAGAGAATTCAAACCCAAGTATACTGGTGTATAAGAGTGCATTACCACTAAATCAAGTTCAACACTAGATTAATATTGAAAACATATTATATATAAATCAAATTATAATTAATAAACTATTAAGATGATAATATATAATATCATGTCTTTATTTTAATAATATATAATAAACTATTAATATATTCAATAATATATATTATTTTATAAAAATAGTTTTTAATATTTAAAATCCTCAACTCTTTTTTTTCGTGAAAAAATGAAAGCCAACTAGCGGGAAATTCTACATTGCGACACCTTAATATAAGGCTAAAAAAAGACGCTATCGGTTTTGTTTAAATAATAAAACCGATAAAAAAAATTACCTAAAATATTATTATTTTTACCTAAAACATCATTTTTTTAATATTTCCAGTAAAAATGTCCAACAATAATAAAACCGGTAACACCTAATAATGTTTCCGATCATTTTTACCAAATCCGGTAAAACGCCTAATAATAACAAAACCGGTAGCACCTAATAATGTTTCTGGTATTTTTTACCGGTTTTGTTATTTAAACAATAACAAAACCTGTAACACCTTTTTTAGCCGTATATTAAGACTGTCGCACGTGAGCATTTCCTCAACTAGCGTATCCTAATTAAACTCTGTTGTGTTCCCCTCCTCCTAGAAGCTTGCGATAGCCTCCCCATGTGGTTTCATGAAGATTATTCCTTCAAAGTCGTCCTTTTGTGCTTTCTTTGCCAAAATATCTGTTATTTTATTCGCAACTCTTCGGGTATGCATGAAGCTTACCATCTATTCTCTCTTTACTAGAAGCTCTATTTGTTGTACGATACTAGGCGCTCTCAATTCCTCTTTGTTCCTCAAGCATAGCTCGAGTGCTTCCCCACCATCGGTTTCGATTATTACCTTCCTTGCGCCTATGTTCCAGGCATGTTTTAAACCTTCAAAGATTCTCTAGAGTTCGGCTTCAACTACTGAACATATCCCTACAGCTTTGGTAAAACCTAATATCCATTCCCCTTTATTGTTTCGGATCACACCTCCACACGTTGTATAGCCATCTTGCGGCCTTCGTGCTCCATCCGTGTTAACTTTAATCCACTCACCACCCTAATATAATATCATGTCTTTATTTTAATAGTATTTAATAAACTATTAATATATTCAATAATATTTATTATTTTATAAAAATATTTTTTAATATTTAAAATCCTCAGTTATAAGGATTCTATGGATTTGATCACCACCATTAAAAACCGTTAGTCCCACTAGTAGTTATCTAGTTGCAAAAATCCCGTCTTCCAGGACAAATGAAAAAAAAACACTATTCTCATTGCAAACAGAGAGAAAGATTGCTGCATTGAGTGAGTGTAGACGAGTTATTGATTTGGTCTGTCCCAGCTCAGCAACTAAGCGCTTAGCGTTTCTTCCTGCTTGCTTTTGCAGCACTAGTTTTCGATGGGCTAGCGATTAGGTAAATGAACAAAACCACTATTGAGACCACAGATATTTGATTTCCATACTGAGTCAGCAATCTCTGCAAAAATTAAAAAAAAAAGCTCGTTCATATTAATTTGAAGGACTAGGAAGTAGCACGAACTGTGTGACCTCAGTAGTAAAAGAATTATTGTTATTTCTTGAAGTCTCGGGTTCGAGCACCAGGAATGTTAGGGGTTTGAGCCTTATCTTTGAACATTTATTACTTTTTATTACATCAGATTAATAAAAAAAAGCGCCAGAATCAAGATTTTATAAGCTTGATTATTTAACAAATATAGAAAGAGTCATACCTTAGCCTTCAATATTTAGTCACGAGTCACAACCAAAGCGAGTTCCACAAAAAGAAAAAAAAGACCTTTAGTAACATTGGAAACAGGAAAAGGATACTGAAAAACTTCAATTCATTGGTTATGGTTTTTCTAAACAGAACTTACCCACTCAAGCTGCTTCTCAGGAGGTATTTCAGCAAGGATGTTCAAAGGCAAGATTGGAGTTGAATATGCCTCCTAAAAACAAACAATATATTGGAGCAGCAAAGCTTGTTACCAACCTTTTTCCCACTTCCCCTTAAACTTCGAGGAAAATAGACTCTGTTATGGATCTCAAACCTGTAGGGTGGCCTTTGTGGGAACGCGGTAAGTAATAACTGCTGGGGCACCATTGAACAGTCCTTGTATTTTGGCCTCTAATTCAAATGAATGTGATAGAACACCGCCACTGAAGATCGTAAAATTTTGCAATTTAATTAATTCAATGTAGGAAGAACAGGTTAAATGAAATTACAGAAAGGCAAAACTTACGCATCAAGTCTCTCCCATGACTTCGAAGTGTTACCACTGACGATATCAAACATATCTTCCGGCCAGCTATCATCAACCAGACTCACATCATATGCTGTCCTGTTTTCATTTTTAGTTTTTTTTTTCAGAAAGATTGTTGCTCAAGTCAGATAATATCCCCACGCCACAAGACTGCATTATAAATCTGAAAAAATATAAAATTTCACAAGTGCATTGGAAGGAGCATGGAAAAAGGGGAGAAAATACCATGCCTTGTTTTCACATTACCAAAGCAGAAGTTTCCAAATTTCATCCAAGCATTGGTTTGACTGTTGAGTAATATCACTCTTTTACAAGAATTGACAGTGATAAATTCATATTCACGAAGAAGGCGAAATTTTAGGGGGTCTAAGCATATAAAATTTAAGCATTCCAAAGTACGAGAAGCAAATTCACAAGTCATAAAGGAAATGGTGTTGTTTATTATTATTGTTATATTAAAATAATCAGATTTGTAATTGAAATAAAGAAAACTAAATGAAATTGGATTTGTGCTCACTTCCTTTCTATTGATTTCGAAATTCGGAAAAACAAACAAGCTGCTTATCACGTAAGACCTAAAATACGTGGTAAGCTATATATAAAAGAAAAGACATCTCGAAATTGTAACGATAATTGAAGACCGGTTCAAAATTAAGAACTTTCACCTTGATGGAGAAACAGAGCTAGATCTGCAATAACGGGATTTAAGGAAAAATAAAATAAAATTGAAGAGAAATGAAAAGGGAAACGCACGAGAAGCCTTGATTGTAAATGTCGATAGAGACGGAGACACGTTCGGCACCGGTTTTGAGTCTGTTGAGCGATGCCTTTTTGTGGGCAATAATGAAGGGGTCGCCGGTGGCAGTGGATGCTGATACCAAGAAAAGAATCATCAACACCTTCATCAATGAATTCCCGGTGAGCGACTCCATGGTCTGCTGGAAATGAAGATTTATTATATTATTAATATTTTGAATTCTATTTAATAAGGAATTGAAATGGTTGAAGATCTGAATCAACGGAAAAGAGTTGGGTTTATTATATTCAGCCTAAGCGTGGTTTGTGCAAGGATGACGTATTTCATTTAAATCAACAGAAAAAAAGAATCCTTGTATCATTATTTATTACGGTTATTAATTTTTTTTGTATTTATTTATAATCGTCAATTGTTTTAGACAGGAAAGAAAGACAATAACAGAGCGGCTAATTTTATTAAAAATAACGTTGAGTCAACCGAGGAGATAAAATAAGTTGAATTGACCATTAAAATAATCTAATAGAAGCTTAAAATAAAAATAAAAAATTAAACACAAAATTTTAGAGTAGTTCGACTTTTTAAATTAAAGTCTACATTCACTATCTAAATTATTAATATTAAGAATTTACATAAATTTACTAATTTGTATCAACTTTTGAAGACAATGTATAACCTTACAACTCCCTCAAGAATTATACCACAAACTCTTGAGAACACTCTAAAATAGACAATTACAAATTTACAAACTTAGAAAAATCTCACAAAGAAATTATTTGCACAATTAAAGAACAAATAAAAACACTTAACAAATAAAATAAATAAATACAAGAGTTTTCTTTAAAAGCAAAAAGAATATTCAAGAATATTTACTTTGATTTTAGTTCAATGTGATTGTTTTGACTTTCTTTTTTATATCATGTCTTCATATATGTCTTGGAGTATTGTTTTTATACATTTTCATTCAATTCTAGTCATTTTGTTTTTGCGGGAGTTAATAGAGTTATTGGATGAATTTTTCCGTAATAAATATTGTCCAAACACCTTAAATATCGGTATTCGTACCAAGAGTATCGATATTGTATGTACTAAATATCTAAAGTTTGACCATCGACAGAGGGAAGTATCAATACTCTAGCCTGTTGCAAAGTATCGACACCAAAAATAGCTACTGAAATTTATTTTTGTCAAACCATAAAGGGAGTATCGGTACTCCCATCCCGAGTATTAGTATTACTGTCTATTTTAGCCCAATAGTATTGATATTGGTATCGTTACTAAATGAATAATATCGATACTATTCTTGTAGGTAAAATTTGATTTTTGACTCTATTAAAATTTGAAACCCTTTGTAAAAGTGTTTGAAAATTGTTTCTTGTATACGACTTGAATTTTCAAAAGAGTAAGGAGTAAAAATGTAGTTTTTGACCTTAAAAAAAATTTAAATATTACGATTTAATCGAGTATAGTCTTGAAAACCGAATAAAAAATAATTTTAAAATTTCTTTACAAATATTTATTTTTGGTATATCAAAATATCAAAACATGGTTCAACAAATAAAAAATATCTAGAATTATAATAATATATTTAAACTTTTTAAATAATATAATACCAATCATACTAACAAATTAAAGATTTAATCTATTAAAAATAATAATTTATTTAGTTTTAAGTGATGCATACTTTATCGACTTCAATTTAATACAATTTGAATCATTCACAGGAACTCACCTGTGTCATTCTCGTTCAACTTATGCATTTAATTTATTACATACAACAATTTAATACAATTTGGATCATTCAATACCACATAATATTAGCACAATTTGAATAACTATGTTTATAGGATGCATGTTTATTGTCAATTGAATACAAACTTTTTAAATATATAATCATCTCAAACTAATAAAAAAACAAATATAATACTTCTTCCTTAATTTTTAAAAGTCATACGAATATTTTAATTATTTTATATCATTAATCTTGATTGAAAGATCATAAAAATCAATGTACATGAAAACATGATGTTTAGGGAGTGAAATTGAACAAACTGGTTAGAGAATATCGATATTAATATGACATTAAATTTCTCTTAAAATCTATAGAGTATTGATACTTTATCTTAAGTATCAATATTTTTTCTTAAAATTCTCAAATTTATTTTGAAATTCATAAAATATCGATATATGTTCATATGATATTGACACTCAAATTTAAAAAACCTAAAGTATACACAAAAATTAACTCAAATTTCACCTCAAACCCCACATGGTTCCAACACATCACATTATCATTATATCACATAAAACATGGTTTTTTTTATACCATAAAACGCCTACTTAATCTATCAATCCACATGGGCATTGCTATTAACACATCTGAAACACCATATCAACCAATACAACACTCATCATAGAAAAATTTCACAACATACCCATACATCAAATTCATCAAAAACACAAGGCGTTTCAAATTTAGAAGTTTACTAACCTCTAAAAATTTTAAATTCTCTTATATTTTAAGTTTTTTTTTGTATTTTTTATTGATTATTTAATTTCATAACTCTAAAACTTATAACTGCACACCCCTATAATTTTTAATATATTCGTAGCACTAACATAAAATTCGGTGTCAATTCCTGCGGATTATCGATGTCTCTGGAAAATTACAGGCTTACAGCACATTCCTTGACAGATGCTCCTCCTCCACGCCTACGACTTTGCTTGTTTAAAGGAAGAAGAGAAAAGTCTAGCATGATAGAGAAGAGCCTGTCAGCTTAGCCAAGAACGATTGCCTGACACCCAAACACGACCTCAATTTCCATCAAGACAAATAAAAATCATATTGTTGTGAGGTTTCAGGCAAGTCATTCTTGGCTACCAAACAAGACTCTTATCTCCATGGAAGACCTCTCTTCCTTTTCATGCATGTAGCCGGATGGTATGCTGATTAACAAGGGGAGGAAGATGAGGCCTAGCATGAAAGAAAAGAGCCTGTCTGATTAGCCAAGGTGACTGCCTGGGAACCCAACCAAGGGTTTTAACATACATTTGATGAACAATTTGAAACCTCTTGGAAAAGGAGCAGGCAAGTCATCCTTGGCTACCAAACATGATGACTCTTATCTTCATGTTAGATCTTTCTTCCTCAAAGCTCAAATTTGATGCCAACACAAAGGGCTTTGTAGTCTGTATTTATAGCAAAATGAAATGAAAGAATATAGAGATGAGATTCGGTTTGCCACTTTGAATGATTTACATCCCCTCTTATCACCGTCTGCAATTTCGCGCTGCCCATAAAAGGGGAATATATTCGGTTCAACATGTAGGGACCTCACCTCAGAGATGTAGGACGTCTCTCCACAAAAGAGGAAGGAAAGGTCTCGAAGTTTCTGGCCATTCCACTGTTCAACCCTGGCATCTTGCAGCCCTTTGAAAAGATATAAGACACTAGCTAGGGTGGTTGTAGCATAATCTAGATAGATATGCATGCCATTGCGCATCTTACCAGCTAGCTAGGGTTTCATTTATGTGCATTCGTGAGCAACTCTTTAAACTTTAACCTCGGCCTTAATTCACACCTGATTTCTGCAGTATGGTTCATGTTATACAATTGATGCAGCTATTGATTTTTTTGTTCTTAATCATTTAATCGTATATTTAATTTTAATTTTGATAATATAACATCATCTAATTTATTAATAGCATATAAAATTATACATTTAATGGTATAGAAACCCCATTCCATGTCCATATATGACTTTATTTGGTGGGGTACATGATTCTCAATTTGAGATGCCCCAGCTGACCAAAACGAATTCATAAAAAGTCAAAGCCATCGCACTAAGCAATGTCTTTTGTTCTAATTGACTTGTGTACATGCATTTCCCATGCATGTAGTATTTATTCTTCCTTTCTTTAGGCATCTCTGACCCTCCATACTCCATATCATTTATGGGATGAGATACTTTAATTACTTTTCTCAATCATTCTCATCCTATCCGAAAAACCAATTTAATGAGTATAAATTTATATTTAATTTAATTTAATTTTGAATATAAAAATATTCAATCTTAAAATGATTAAAATAGGCAATCCAAAATAACTTAAAGAACATCGTAATAATCCAAAGCCAATAACTCTAAAACTTTTAAACTTGATAGGAATCAATTTGACAATATGAAATTAACTTATCTGTCCCAATTGAGAGCTCAAATATTATTTTGGTGATTACCCGTATGGCTTATGAAATATAAAATTATTACTACGAATAAAATTTTTGAATATAAGATTGATGTTTGTTTAATCTAAATGTGATATGATATTAAAATATTATATTTTTTATTTAGTTATTTAATCTAAATGTAAGATTACGATGTTTTAACAAGATGCAAGATTACCTACTTAATAGTATATTTTATAAGATTATCTTTGTGATATGTTTTTCTATCAAGCTTAACATTCAATATTAATTTTAAAATATATTATTCTTAAAGTTCATATAACTCTTTTCATTAAACTCTAACTATTTTTTTACTTAACATTTAATTAATGTATTGAAAAAACTCATTGAGTGACCTCAATGGTAAAAGGGAATGTTAATTTTCCTAAAGGTATCGAGTTCGAACAACTGTGTTAATAGGATGTGTGTGCGTTTTCAATAGACTAAGAAAACATATAAACAAATACTACCTCATAAATACCATTATTTAACGCTCAGACTCAACTTTTCCAAATTATCTATTTTAAAAAGTATATACAACAAACAAGTTTATAGCAGCGATTTTAGAGAAGACGACACTAACTTTAAACATATAGATGCGTTTGCCAACATAACAATTTTAGTGGTGTTTTTGAAAACCGCCGCTACAGATTATTCATTTGTGGCGTTTTTATAAACGTCGCAATAAGTTTCATATGCAGTGGCGATTTTAACATACGCCGCAATAGATTTATACTTTAGTGTCCCCACTATAAAATGATAAATAGTAGCGTTTGTAGCTACAATCGCCGCAAACTTTAATAAAATCCTAAGAACTCCCCTGCCTCCCGATTATTCACACAGCGCGCCTTCAATTTTTAACTTCGCAAAAAACCCTAACTCACAACCTCTCGATAATTCACGCCTTTCTCCCAACACATTAAGATTGTATCCCTAATTCCAAGCAAATCTCTTCAAGAAAGCAAACTGGCAATG